TTTTCTAACCCTGTTATTTCCTTCTAAAATTTTGTCCTAGAAAATAAAATGACACAAATTTTTGCACATACTTGTAACAACAATAATATAACTGAAATTATATAAGGATTATATGTTGTTCTTTCTGTTACTACATGCTCTGAAGTCAGTTCCAACTCCTAGAGACACCCTATATAGGGTTTCCAAGGACCAGCTATTTGATTTGAAGCATTGACTTTATGGTTAGCAGTTCAGTGCTTATCCTGTAACACCACACCAGGACTCCTAGGTGGTGGTGGTTGTTCAGTGTCATCAAGTCAATTCTAACTCGTAATGACTCTGATAGGGTTTCCAAGGAGCAGCTGATGGATTTGAAGTGCCTCCCTTCTGGTTAGCAGCCCAGGGCTTATCCCAGAGTGCAAGAGTACAGCACCCCTATAGGTATAGAGAAATTATAGATAACATATATGAACAGGATACGTTATATTTTTTGTCAAAAGTATTACTAAATTTGTTAAAGTACAAATGATGTATATCCTTTATGAGAAGTATACCAGAAGAATATACATCAGTGCTTTGCAGCACAGATGTACTCATAAAGTAAACTGTTGAAATATCTGAAAATGTTCAATAGGGAATTAAGGAATTAATGAAATTTGAACTCCTTAAAATTATGTTTTAGAAGATTGCATAGTGCTATAGGAACATGTTTAAAGGAGCTCTGGTAGCGTACTGGTTACGAATCGGGCTGCGAACCTTAAGGTCAGCGGTTCGAAACTACCAGCTGCTCCGCAGGAGAAAGATCAGGCTTTCTACTTCCGTAAAGATTTACACCCTCGGAAACCCTGTACAGGGTCGCTATGGGTCGAAACCGACTCGACGGCACTTAACAACAACAACAACAATAGGAACATTTTTGGTATTTTAAGTGAAAAAAAGACATTTTATATATATATATGTATATATATATATGTCATAAATACTGTATGATCCCAATCTTTCAAAAGGAAAAGTGATGTAAATAATTGTAAATGAAGTGTGTGTGTCTTCATGTTTATTCATAGCCGAAAAATGGAAGGCTATACACCAAAATGAGTCCTGGTATGGCACTGTGGGTTAATGCACTGGATTGCAAAATCAGTTTGAACTGTAAGGTCAGTGCAGTGGTTCCGGCTCACTGGCTGCTCCCTGGAAACCCTGTACAGGTGCACTATGGGTTGGAACCAACTCACTGACGCTTAAGAAGAAGAAAGAACAACAATACACCAAAACACAAACTAGAGTTGACCGTGATGATGTGAATGGAGTAAAGCTTTCTGGACCTTCATTTGCTGATGATCCACTCATCATCATCAAAATGAAGAGAAACAGCTGTAACCATTCATTAATAATCAGAACAGGAAATAGGAAACTGGAGTTGTCAAAAATGAAATGGAATACATAAACATTGATATGCTAGTCATTAGTGACCTGAAATAGACTGGCATTGGCCATTTTGAATCTGACAATAGCATCGTTTAACTATGCTGGGAATGACTAAATTAAAGGAGGAATGGTGTCACATTCATTATCAAAAAAAACATACCAAGAGCTGTCTTGAAGTACAGTACTGTCTGTAATAGGATAATATCCATGCACCTTACAAGGAAGACTGGAGTCCTGATGTGGCACTGTGGGTTAATGCATTGGACTCCAAGCTCCGTGTGGACCAAAAGGTTGTTGGTTCAAGATTACCAGCCACTCCTTGGAAACCCTATACAGGGTCGCTATGAGTCAGAACCGACTCAATGGCTCTTAACAACAACAATAACAAGAAGGAAGGCCAGTTAATATTACTATTATTCAAATTTATGCATCAACTATTAAAGCTGGTGATGATGAAATTAAAGAATTATACCAGCTTCTTAAGCCTGAAATTGATCGAACATGCAATCAAGATATATTGATAATTACTGGTGATTGAAATGCAATGGTTAGGAACAAAGAGGAAGGATCAGTTGTTGGAAAATAATGGCTTTGGTGGTAAAAACGATGCTGGAAATCACATTATAGAATTTTGCAAGACCAATGACTTCCTCACTCCAAATACCTTTTTCAAACAACACAATAGAAGACTATACACATGGACCTCACCAGGTAGAATGCACAGAAATCAAATTGACTACATTTGGGAAAGAGATAGTAGGAAAACTCCATACCACCAGTCAAAACAATACCAGGGGCCAACTGTGTAACAGACCATCAATTGCTCACATGTAAGTTCAGGCTGATGCTGAAGAAAATGAAAACAAGCCCACAAGAGCCAAAATATGACCTTGCATATATTCCACCTAAATTTAGAGATCATCTCAAGAACAGATTTGATGCATTACACACTAAATATTGAAGACCAGAAGAGTTGTGGAATGACATCAAAAACATCATATAGAACAAAAGCAAAAGGTCATTAAGAAGACAAAAAGAGAAGGAAAAGAACAAAATGGATGTCAGAAGACACTAAAATTTGCTCTACAGCGTAGAAATGCTAAAGCATATGGAAGAAATGAGTCCATAAAAGAGCTGAATAGAAAGTTTCAAAAGGTAGCTAGAGAAGACAAAGTCAAATATTATAATAAAATGTGCAAAGATCTGGAGTTAGAAAACCAAAATGAAAGAACATCCTCAGCATTTCTCAAGCTGATGAAACAGAAGAAAAAATCCAAGCCCCGACTTGAAATATGGAAGGATTCTGTGGACAAAATATTGAATGATGCTGAAAGCATCAAAAGAAGATGGAAGGAATACACTGAGTCACTGTATCACTGTACCCAAAAGAAATGGTCGATGTCCAACAGTTTCAAGAGGTAGCATATAATCAAGAGCCAATGATACTGAAGGAAGAAGTCCAAGGTGCATTGAAGGCATTGACAAAGAACAAGGTTCCTAGAATTGATGGAATAAAAATTGAAATCTTTCAAGAAAGTGAAGCAGCAGTGGAAGCACTCACTCATCTATTCCAAGAAATGTGGAAGACAACTACCTGGCCAGCTGACTGGAAGCAATCCATATTTGTGCCCATTCCAAAGAGAGGTGACCCAAAGGAATGCAGAAAGCACCTGACAGTATCATTAATATCCCATGTAAGCAAAATTTTGCTAAAGATAATTCAAAAATGACTGCAAGCATACATTGACAGAGAACTTCCAAAGGTTCAAGCCAGATTCAGGAGAGGACGTGGAACAAGGGATGTCATTGTTGACGTCAGATGGATCTTGGCTGAAAGCAGACAATACCAGAAAGATGTTTACCTGTGCTTTACAGACTATGCAAAGTCTTTCGATTGTGTGGGTCATGCCAAGCTACTGATAGCATTATGGAGAATGAGTATTCTGAAACAATTGTGCTCATGAGGAACCTGTATGTAGACCAAGAGGCAGTTGTTTGAACAGAACAAGGGAACACAGAATTATTTAAAATTAGGAAAGGTGTGTGCCACTTTTATTCTTTCACCACACTTATTCGGTCTGTATGCTGAGCAAATAATCCGAGAAGCTGGATTATATGAGGAAAAATGTGGCATCAGGACTGGAGGAAGACTCAATAACAACCTGAAATATGCAGATTATAAAACATTGCTTGCTGAAAGCAAAGAGGACTTAAATACTTACTGATGAAGATCAAAGACCACAGCCTTTGATCTTGGTATGGCTTGCACCTCAACATAAAGAAAACAAAAATCCTCACCATGAGACCAACAAATAACACCACGATATATGGATAAAATACTTGAGTTGACAAAGACTTTATTTTGCTCAGATCAACAATCAGTACTCATGGAAGGAGCAGTCAAGATATCAAATGATGTATTGCATTAGGCAAATGTGCTACACAAATTTCTTTGAAGCGTTGAAGAGTAAAGATGTCAGTTTGAGGACTAAGGTGCACCTGACTCAAGCCATGGTATTTTCAATAACTCTCATATGAATTTGAAAGTTGGGCAGTGAATAAGGAAGACCATAGAAGAATTGATGCATTTGACCTGTGGTGTTGGAGGAGAATATTGAAAGTACCATGGACTGCCAAAAGAACAAACCAATCTACGTTGGAAGAAGTACAGCCAGAATAATCCCTGCTTGCCAGGATGGCCAGACTTCCTCTCTCATACTTTGGACATATTATCAGGAGGGACCAGTCCCTTAAGAAGGTTATCATGTTTAGCAAAATGTTTGGTTGGGAAAAAAGAGGAAGACCCTCAACAAAATGGATTGGCACAGTGAAAGTAGCCATGGGCTCAAATGTAACAACGATTGTGAGGTTGGCACAGGACCGCGTATTGTTTCATTCTGTTGTGAACTTAAAAACAACAGCATACACCAAAATGTTACTGGTGGCTAGATCTAAATGATTTTTATTTTCCTCATTTTATTTTTCTGTTGTTAACGTATTCTCACTCAAAGATCAGGTTGTTATGTGAAAATTGGTATTATACAAAAAGATAGTTGAAAATTAAGGAATTGGTGTGTTTCTTTTCCATACTGAACATAAAGCATTTCTTTGTAGTTAGAAAGACTAAAATTGTTTTTTGTTGTTTTTATTAAACTGTGTATGAACCTCAATAGCTTCATTTTGCTTTTTTTAAGTAGATGTGTATGCAATCTGAAGAGTGTACTGATTTGGAGGTGTTTGTAATTCCGAGGCTAAGTTAAAAGTTACCTTGAATAAATAGTTTATTCTTTAAATTAATCATACAGTGGACATTTTAGAGAAACACTTTTAAGTTTAAGAAGGCTCTTCAAGTACATTGAAAACTTATATAGGATTTGCTCATCATTTTTTCATCTGTGCCATTCCCTTGAGTGCCTCTTCCTGGAAAGTGAATATACATATTTCTATTGCTTGATGTAGAAACAATAATATACAATTAATATATTTTACTAACAATCTGGTTTTCTTCAGTCAGCTAGACGATGATATTTTTACCATGTGCATATCATAGAATGGTCCCCATTCACTAAGTAACAATTTGGGTGACTTTTTCACAGGTGATGAAAACATACCATATGTATCATGCAGAAAGCATCAGTGCAGAAAGCAAGCTGAAAGAGGCTGAGAAACAAGAAGAAAAGCAAATTGGAAGATCTGGTGACCCAGTCTTCCATATTAGACTGGAAGAGAGACACCAGCGGCGAAGCTCTGTGAAGAAAATTGAAAAAATGAAAGAAAAGGTAAGTCACAATATATTGCATGCAGAACGCTTGGAGGTGATAATACTGAGAATACTCATGCAATGGCTGATAAATACACATTGTAAATTATTGTGAAATGACATGCATTTCCTCCCAAGGGGATGAAAAATGTTTAAGAAACATAAAAATCATGTAATAACAGCTGGACATCATTTAGTGTTGACTGCCAAGGATTCAATACACAATGTAGAAAACTGGAATATTAACAAAGAGATTTCATTGCACATGGGCCTGCGGCCCAAATTCATTGTTGTTACTCTATGTAACTGGGTGATTTTGCTTTTATTATTTAAATAAGACTCAGAATGTACTTTTCACTAAGGACATTGAGGGCCATTTGTATATGTGGAATAAATTGTTTAGATTAATAGAAACTCATGTATGTTTCTCTGTTTAAAAATGGCTTTGTTTTCTTTCCCAATGCCTGAACTTTCATCATTTCCAGAGACAAGCAAAGTATTCTGAAAACAAGCTGAAATCAATTAAGGCACGGAATGAATACCTCCTTACCCTTGAAGCAACCAATGCCTCAGTTTTCAAGTATTATATTCATGATCTTTCAGATTTAATTGATGTAAGTACTTGAGACTTTTATATTTTCTGTATTAAGACACACCGATAAAAGAATACTTTATTGATTTTAAAACACCATTTGTTAAAATAATGTTATTTTTCATATACTACCCAGAAAGAATATAGCACTGACAATTAAACTATACAGTTAAGACTTATCAGTTGTAAGATGTATCTGAAAAATAAGTTCATCGTAAAATCAATGAAAAATAGATTGTTTGGTTATGTGAGCCTATGAATACCTGGGAAATTCACCTGTGAAAGAGCCCTGATCATCTAAACTCTGCAGTGGAAGAACCCTAACTGCATTCATTGACTCAAAAGATATTTGTTGGGTCCATACTGTTGGGAAATACTTAGGATTTAACAAACTATATATATAAATAAGCCGTACTCTCATAGAATTTAAAGTGGCAAAGTTACACATTAAGCAAATACTTTATTATAGTTGTTATAAGCACTGTGAAGCATAAGTAGAGTGAACACAAATAGACCACTTTTATAGATCTGTCTAACTCTCTGTACTGTTTTCTCATAACATATGAGAGATAAAAGCACTTATTGAGCTCATTTAGAACTCTGCAAGGAAATTTCCGCTATTAAATCTACCGTGTTCACTGCCATTGTTCTCCAACTTTAATCCTCTGCATCATTCACAACATGTATGAAGCATCCTAGTTATTGTGCTAACATGGTAGGAGATTGAAACAGACAAAAATCCTATGTGAAAAAAAACGCCAATAGCTGCAAATATAAAAGTGATAAGGGCCATCAGAAAAGCACAAAGAAAGTGAGTGTGTTCAAAAGTTATCTACTGAAACTTTACTCTTCAACTGCTCTGTATTTATTGACTTCAACCGTTTGATGAGCTTATAAAATTATCTGTGGCTCACAGCCTCTGTCATAATTTAAACATATAGTAGGTTAAAGTAACTTTACTTTTATGGTGAATTTAGCTATTATTTTAGGGCCATCATTTGGGAATTTTATGGAAGAATTATCTAAGGAGTCAATTGCTTGCTAATTCATTAACTCTCTGATGTAACTTTTTTTTTCCCCTCCTATTTGAGTTTCAAAACAATTTTCTCATAATATCATAATTTCTATATACAGAACCAGTTAGCAGTAAATAAAAGCAGGGGAAAGTTTTCTATTTTTCTTTATTAAGACAATTGTTTCAAACAAGTATAACCAATTTACTTTGACAATTTGTAATATATTTATAATTTACTCTTTTTTAATACTGACTTCCTTCCAGCACTTTAATGAAATTAAATAAGTCTTTCTGATGTACTTCTGCTAGATCTAATTAATAAAAAAAAAATCCCACTAGGTTTTCTGAATAAAAATAAAGTTGTTTTCAATCTTTAAGATCTGTAAGTATTCTCAAAGCATATGGATATAGAAAACTAATCCTGTATATCTGCTCTACTTGAGCTTATTTTATTAGTAAGCACAATACTTTGCTTAACCCAAGCCAGTATCAATGTGAAAAGGTGTCCAAATTTTGAAAATGTATTTCTTGAAGACCAATAATGTACCAAGCATTATTCTTAACAATGAGGATCTAACAATGAGCAAACGAAAGTCCCCATCCTCATAGACATATAACAGGATAGATGTTGTTATGTGCCATGGAGTCAGTTCCAACTAAGAACAACCCTGCACAGGGTTTCTGAGGCTGTAAATCTCTACGGGAGCAGAAAGCCTCATCTTTGTCCTGCAGAACAGCTGGTAGTTTTGAACTGCTCACCTTGAGATTAGTAGCCCAACTCATAACCACCACATTACCAGAGCTCCTTATGTTATATATAAGCATGTTATATATACATAACCATTGTTACTTCTGTATATATGTGTTGTAGAAGGAAATATGTATGATTGTGTATGTTAATTTCAGTTGCCTCATATATGTGCGAGGGATTCTGATGTAGTGCTGTAGTAAAATTATTGGACTGCTAACCTCATGGTCAGTGATTCAAACTCATGAGTCACTCCTCCAACTCGGGGTCACTATGAGTCAGAACCGATTCTTTGGCACTTAACAACAACGTTTGCATGGGAAAGTTGGATGAATAATGTAGACGACAAAATTATTGATGTGTTTGAATTCTGGTGTTGGCAAAAAATATTGAATATGGGCTGCCAGAAGAGTGTCCAAATTTGTTTTGGAAGAAGTGCAGCTCTAATTCTCCATAGGCTAGAGGACAGTGAGAAACCATCTCACTATGTTATCAGGGGGACCAGTCTTTGGTAAAGTAGAGTCAGGGGAAAAGAGGAAATCCTCAACACGATAGATTGACACAGTGGCTGCATCAGTGGGCTGAAACATACATAGCACTGACTGTGAGGGTGGCACTGGACTGGCAGCCAGTATTGCTTTCTGCTGTGCATTGGGTCACCATCAGTCAGAACCAACTCAATGGCACATAACAACAACATGTGTGCGTGTGTATATATGTTTTTGTTGTTAGGTGCCATCGAATCAGTACCAACTCATAGAGACCTTATGCACAGCAGAACGAAACACTGCCCGATCCTGGGCCAGCCTCACTATTGTTGCCACACTTGAGCCCATTGATGCCGCCACTTTACCAATCTTTCTCACTGGGGGTCTTCCTCTTTTTCTCTGACCCACCACCCTACCAAACATGATATCCTTCTCCAGAGACTGGTCCCTCCTGACAAGTAAGTCCGAAGTATGAGAGATGAAGTTTAGCCATCCTGGCCTCCAAGAAGCACTCTGGCTACACTTCTTCCAAAACAGATCTATTGGTTCTTTTGGCAGCCTATGACACTTTCAATATTCTCCTCCAACACCATAACTCAAAAGTATCATTTCTTCTACAGTCTTCCTTATTCACTGTCCAGCTTTCGCACGCATATGAGGTTATTGAAAATACCATGGCTTGGGTCAGGCGCATGTATATATGCAATGACAATTTCATGAAGAAAACTAAAATACAATGGTGTCTGTTTAGATGCAGTGGACAAGAAAAGCCACTGTGAAAAAGGGATATTTGACAGAAGACACAAGCTGGAGAGCCATGTGTCTACCTGGGGAAAGAGTCCCTCAGGCAGAAGAACTGGAAAGGTAAATGTGCGGAGACAAAAGTGTTTGGCAAACCCCAAATGCTCAAGGAATTGTAAATGAGGCCAGTATGGCTGCAGCTTGAGTAAGAAGCCAAGGTCTAGGAAATATGGTTCAAAATACAAAACCATGCCATTGACTTGACAACCTCATATGTGTCAGAATTGAACTGGTATTCCCTGGGGCTTTTGGTGTCTGGTTTTTCAATAGATCACCAGGGTAGACTGGAACTGCCAGCCTTTTGGTTAGCAACTAAGCACATTAGACCACCCAGGGACTCGAGAAGATGTGGTGGTAGGCAGGGAAGTAAGAGTCCTTAAGACAGGGTAAAGGAATCCTGGTGGCACTGTAGGATAAGCACTGGACTGCTAACCATATGGTTGGCAGTTCAAAGTCACAGCCATTCCTTGAGACAAAGATGAAGCTGTCTGCTTCTGTAAAGATTTGCAGCCTCGCTATGAATCAGAATCTACTCGATGGTAGTGAGTTTGGTTATTTGGAGACAAAAAAAAAGGGGTTTAGATTTCATTGTAAATATAATGGGAAGCCACTGACACGTTTTGAGCAGGGAAGTGACATCATGTGGTTTACACTTTTAACTGGCAGCTGGGTGGGAATAAAATAAAGGGTATGGAGCAACAGAGGGAAAGCAGAATTTTCAAGAGGATTTTGAAACTGTAGGCATAAACTGGAATGGTACTGATGGAGCCAACTAGAAGTCATTGAATTAAGATTATATTTTGTATGTTGAGCTCTGGTAGTGTATTGGTTATGAATCAGACTGTTAACCTCAGGGTCAGCAGTTCGAAACTACCAGCTGCTCTGTGGAAGAAAGAGGAGGCATTCTGCTCCCATAAAGATTTACAGCCTCAGAAACCCTGTACAGGGTCGCTATGAGTTGGAACTGACTCCACAGCACATAACCACAACAACAAATATATTTAACAGTCCTGGTGTGGTGCTGTAGGATAAAGTACTGGATCACAAAGGTCGGTTTGAATCACAAAGTTAGCGATTCAAACTCACCAGCTGCTTCTTGGAAACCCTATACAGTGTCAGAACTGACTCGATGGCACTTAAAAACAACAACAACAATATTTAATATGTTTGATATATTGTTTAGTGATGTTGAATCGGTTCCATCTCATCGTGACCTTGTGTTGGGTTTCCAAGGAGTGGCTGGTGGGTTTGAACTACCAACCTTGAGCTTAACAGTTTATTGCTTATCCTATAGCAGAAGATAAAAGTTATCTCTGAGGTTTGGGGACTGAGTTACTAGGTTAGTGGTGGTGTTGTCATATACTGAGATAAGGACTCTGGGGAAGAAGTAGCTTGAAGGACGATGGGGAATGGCAGTTCTCTTGTGAGTGAGTTTGACATTTTATTGGATATCTAAGGAGTCCTGGTGGCGCTGTAGGATCAGCACTGCATTGAAAGGTTGGTTTGAACCACAGGTCAGCAGTTCAAACTCACCAGCTGCTCCTCGGACACCCTTTGCAGGGTTGATATGAGTCAGAACTGACTTGATGGCACTTGAAAACAGTAACAACAACCAGTGATACAGAATAGCATTCTCAATATTATTGAAGTATGTAGGTGTGGAATATAAGGGAATCATTGTCACGAGTTTTTATTAAGCTCTTACTATGCTACAGGCAAGGAGCTCTGGTAGCGTAGTGGTTACGTATCAGGCTGCGAACCTTAAGGTCAGCTGTTCGAAACTACCAGCCGCTCTGTGGGAGAAAGATGAGGCTTTCTACTCCTGTAAAGATTTATACCCTCGGAAACCCTGTACAGAGTCGCTATGGGTTGGAACCGACTCGACGGCACTTAACAACAACAACAACAAATGCTACAGGCAAGTTTCTAAGCATAACCTAAGGACTCCTGGTGGCACAGTGGGTTAAGCA